GTTTAGGTCCCAACTCTGCTGTTTCTGAGATAAGAAAAAAAAGAATTTTTGTATAAATTCACAATTTTTGCCGTCACTTAATTGGCGATGAATTTTTAATAAAAAATTTTCATCGGTAGAATAGAGAGACATCTCTCTTTTGTAATGGATATGAGTTTGATTGAATTTGATGAGCAGTTATGTTGCAATGCCCTTTAGAGTGTTACCCATCCATTAAATACTAGCTACACATACAATAATGTCTAGTTCTATTGCGAGGCGGCTAGGTCAATTACGGAATACACGCATGTAGTAATGCTGAGAGGGTCTATATGTCCCCCAGGGTACTGCCGGAACGTACCCTGGGTACGGTCCGGTATACCGGAACGTACCCGAGTACTATCTAATATGCCGGACCGTACCTCGCCTACTCCACTAACGAGTCTAGGGAGTCGCCTACGCCTACTCCCTAACTCTAACCATATCAAATAGTTACCAGGGTACGTTTCGGTATACCGGACCGTACCCAGGGTACGTTCCGGCAGTACCCTGGGGGACATAGAGCCTATGAGCTGTAGTAACTGCACGTATGAGAACACGACAGCAATAGTGCTAGTAATACAAAGATAGCCATGTTACTACTATAGTGTTGGAGCACTTGTACTGAATTTTAGTGACTTTATTAGCCATAGAAAAAGAAAGAAAGAAATTATATCATATCTTTATGTATGATACTTTGTTGTTGCAACAGTAATAATAATTTACATTATTATCGACATTCACGCGTCACATTGAGCAACGAACACACTGTTAAGAGAAAAAAGACTAGTCGTAGTAACATGTTTTGAAAATAGACTGAGATATAGTATTGCGGTTACATATATATTATATTATGCATAGAATTAAAACCAAGTTCAACCAACTCCCTCTAAGACAGTGCAGATAGATGGGACCATTGGGTGGTAAATGTTTATAGAGTTAGTTATATATAGCTACCTGCAAACAAAATATGAATTACAACCAATAGGAACTACCAACAGCATTTCTTAGCTTTCTGGAATATAGACTGAATGAATAGAAGGCTATAAGTATAATGAAAGGCCACATAAATGTTCAAAGAACTGCTCTATTTCTAATCATGCCTGCACATGGTGAGAATATACATTCTTTAATTATTGCTATCATCATGACCCAATAGGATCATAAGCCAAATTACAATCATGTCCCGACTATTACCATGCATAATGAAATTGGAATAAGAACATTAATTATAACCCTGATACTAGTAACATTATCATGCTGCTCATGCTGTCTGCAGATATGCTAGTTCCCACTTCAGTTTCTCTTTGCAGTTGGCTTTCATATTACTGACTTTACTAATAACTAGCCAGTTATAGACAAGATGACTAATATTTTTCAACATTCTAATCAATTTCACACAATTAAATATTATTTTGGTAGCAAACTATCATCTAGTGCCTTCCAAAACATAGTAATCAATAAACGTGATGCCCCACGGCCAGCTGAGCCTGGTTAGCTGCAATACGAGCCCAAAACAAAGATTGCAGAGCTGAGAGGCGGGGAGCATAGGGTGTGGAGAGGCAAGCGGAGGAACCATTTAAATATTAAGTCATCCACTATATTTTGCGCAGATCGCTGTTTTTGGCCCCCCCTCACCCCTGTTAAAAAATCTTGGCTACGCCACTATAGATATATACAGTGAGTCATCACGAAAAACTTTTTGAGCCACTTGCCCTTCGGGGTCTAGTATTCTGTAAAATGTACAGGCCCAAATGACATACTAGTTGCCCAAGTATGTATACCATAAAGCCGGGCGCACACGTGGCAATTTTTATCGCTAGTATACTGCCGATAAAAATCGCCACGTGTGCGGGATCCGGCAACAATGCAACGATCTGTCAGCAACATACCACTGTATGAACTGATTACGTGACCGGTTCAAAATGGAAGCGCCCATTGTCACCACGATAGCCGTTCTTCAAGTTATTGGAATATATATAATTTTTTTCTTTTCTTATTCCTATCACTGTAAATCCCACTCGTAATATCGAAAAGACATGGGCGGTTCTGCCAGATTTCAACGAGTTCGTCCTCCCTCGTTCTCTCCCATACCACGGGCGCTGTCATATTTGATCACGTGCTTCAAATCATGCATTTGATTGGTTAATCCAAAAACTGTTGCCTGAATCCGTCGCCAGTGCAGCGCACACGCAGCGATTTCTCGGCGATTTTGTTGCTGGCAACAAAATCGCCAGTGCTAGCGATAAAAATGGCCACGTGTGCGCCCAGCTTAATGTGTACGCACATTGCACACATGTAATACATGTATAACACATGTAATACAAGTGTAGTACATGACAAAAATGTGTACACGCGTTACACACATTGTATACATGCATAACACATGTAACACAAGTGTAGTACATGACAAAAATGTGTACACGCGTTACACACATTGTATACATGCATAACACATGTAACACAAGTGTAGTACATGACAAAAATGTGTACACGCGTTACACACATTGTATACATGCATAACACATGTAACACAAGTGTAG